TGAGGTAACACCCATTTGAGGATTAACTTCTTAGAGGAAATTTTTCATTAATTAGCAAGGCTCTTGGCCAACAAACAGAATAAACAGAACTATCTTCTAACATACCCCAGAGAAGCAAGAACTCCTTTGTGTGTGATCTTGAAAAGGTTAAACAGTGAAACTCCACACAGGCAACATAAAAAGGACCATTTTTAACTCCAGCTGTGTCATGAGAGGAATTTTAGACAGCAAGAGAAAGGAAGAAATTATTGAATAAAGAACAGAGTGGCATCCAGTCCAGGAGTCTTCCTTTACCACAATAATCACTAACACTGGGAAATCAAAAACACTCATGTGCAGTGATGGTGGACATATTCACAGAACTGGGGCAAAGTGACAGATCCAACATTGATATGGATTGTGCAATTAACAATAAAGAAGGGACAAGATTCCTCGGACAAAAAATATTTTTGAGAAAGTGTGTCTCAACCAAGTTAAATGGATTTCTTTACTCTAGGACTTCCTAAGAGGGGACTTGTTTATGTAGCAATTTAAGAAATGGTGAATTTGAGCAACAAAATACAGTTGGTGCCATTTATAGCAACTGCAAGGGAAACTGATCATTCTAGACAACTAGTTCAGGTATGAAAAGTGCATAGCATGTTTACCTCATTTCTCCCTCATAGCAGGCATGACTAATTAGTCACCATATTCTTTGCCACTGATTCCAGATATAGCCTCATAATCTTTAAAACACTCCCAGAAGCTGCTACTAGTTGATCATTAATTCATTATCAGCTTTGAAACAAAAAGTCAGGCATAAATCAGCATGGGATAGAAAAATAGACTAGATATTCCTCAGAGTGCAAAGGATAAAGAGGATCCACACTAGGAAAACTTGTTAGCCAACTCACACAGGAGTTAAGGTCCAGGGACCAGACCCCATTTGTCATTGTATCCTTAACACTTAGCACAATGCTTGACATGGTAGACTCTGGACATGTTTGGTGAATTACTGAACTAACCCCAAAATCACATGGTAGTGATGATTTTTCATAGTCCCTTGCTATTATACATGTATATTAGCCATTAGGAAAAATATATATAATTGTTCCCTGTTATGGGTTCAGATTATTTCTCAGCTATTCTTTCTGCTATCTCTTAATGAAGAACCTCATTCAGTATGTTTTAAAGAAGCATCAGGAACCACAAAGACTGTAACAACAATGGACATTGGTTTGAATTCTGAATCTGCACTTACCTGCTATATAATCTTGAGAAAAAAACTTCAGGGCAAAGGGAAAACAGTTAAAAAGAGAGTAAACAAGGAGTTAACAGCATCTTGAATACAGTTGGCATAAAATAAAATGGTGGTGGTGGCAATAGTTTATACTAATAACATCAGTCATCCTGCCTGCTATCATCATCTCTGCCTGGGGGGATCCCATTCATCCTTTAAGTCCCCATATGGGGACTAGCCCTATCAGATAGTAAACATAATGTAAAACCTCAAACAGTATGGTATTGGAACAGGAATAGGTAGGCCAATATAACAGAACAGAAGATCCACAAGAGATTTTAGCATATAATAAAGTTGCATATGTATATGTGCATTAAGTTTATGATAAAGTTTCAAGATTTCTAAAACCTCAGACAGAGACTAGAATCTAAAGCAATAACCAGTAACTTGCCACATTCACACAGCTAGTAAATTATACAACTGGGATTTGAATGCAGACATTCTGATTCCAGTATCCATTTTATTAACCACTAAACAATAATAATAAATTAAAAATGCAAAGTTCCAACCAGTAAGTACAGTATGGTACCACTGAGCTAAAAAAAAAAGGAAAAAGAAAAATTTTATGTTTGCTCATGTATACATACAGGAGCTCTGAAATACATGAGAAACTAAAAGCAGTAGTTATCTATGGAGAGCATGGGGATGGGAGGAATAATAATGAGGACTGGGGATATATATAAATCTATTTTAAAATATATGCATATATACTTGAACTAAATGAATGTATGACCTGATCCAAAGTTAAAATAAATGCAAAAATAGAAAGAATATGCTCATCCTAGGCAAGCCTTTTCTGTTCCTCCTCCCAAGCACAGTAAGCCTCTTCTTTGTTACTGTTATCATCTATGCTATACTTTTTCTGGCACGTGTCATGTTGCACTGCCCTCATTTATGCTCCACTCCTCTGCTCACCTCATCGCCAGCCAAGCTATGAGCTCTTCAGAGGCAGGGTTCTGTTTCTTTCATTCTCCAGTCCCAGCACATTGCCCTGATACGTGGCAAACACTCAGTGCATGAGGAAGTGGAAATGGGAAAAGAGAAGTGGGGCAGGCCAGCCAAGTTTGTGGTATTAGCATTGTGGAAAGGGGAATCAACCGGGGACTTCATGTAACAATGGGAATTTGAAGAGCAAGTGAAGAGAGGAAAATATAGCAACCCTTGCAGAAAAGGTATACCCAACGCAGTTAAGGCTAAAGGGTAAAAAAGGCTACTATGAGCCAGGGCTAATCAGGGGGAAATGAGGAAGAGATAAGAGCTGAGACTGGCCCTGGAATGACAGGAAATGGACCATGAAACTAAGACCCCAGAAGTGAGGGCTCCCAGCCTCTGGAGATTCAGCAGAAAACTCTCCACCCATCTGATAACTGAAAATGGGGCAGAGAGTATGTGAAAAATTGGTATTGGAAGAGACTCCTACCTGTACGTACCAACAATCACATTTGGTCTGCTGCTTCTGTTCACTTAAACTCTGCATATAGTCATCTGAGGGCTGAAAAGAGATCCACATTGGGTCGTAGATGTATTTTCCCCAGCAAAATAAATTCTAGATTCCTTAGGCAGGGGAACTGGCCCACTCCAGTCAGACCACACCCACCCCCTGTAAAACTGGGCTTCTGTGAATAACTGTGCATACCTTTGTACTATTATCTATTATTTGCAGGAACATACTTCATTATTTGATTGTGAATCATCAGAACTGTATGTTCAACAGTCCTTATTTTAGAGATACACACAGGAATAGGTATGAGTGAAGCGAAACAATGTCTGTGATTCACTTCAAAAGAGCAACAAAGTAATATGTAACAAGCAGCAGCTCAAGTTGCCCAAACAGTAGCTGTTAGGAAGAGAATGTGCTTTATGTTAAGAATACTTCTCCCTAAGAGGCAAGCCAATTAAGTGAAAAAAAGTAAAATCCTGGATAAGCATGGTACATGTTTGCAGAAGGAAATTTTATTTCATTGCCTCAGCCTTAAGCGGTATTAGCAAACACCGCAAAGTAATGAAAGAGGTCATTAGGAAGGAGCTAGAATAGAAACACCTTCCAAAGTTATGGAAAAAATTCTGACATCTTAATTACATTCTGCCACCTAGTGACAAAGGAAATTTAACATACTTACTTAGCCAGCCTCCAAGGGCACAGAGGGCCGCCCTTCACCATCGGGATGCCCGAGCATGGCTGACTGTTCCCAGATAGACCTAACCCCACAGGTGTTTGGTGCGTGGCGTGCTCTCAGAGGCGCCGCAGATGTGGGCACCCGCCACAGGAGCTGTTCAGTCTGCGGCTGACAGGGTTTGCAAGATGCCAGAAAAGTCCACCCTCCGCCACTTAGTGCAGCCCACTGCCTCCTTTGCTACCTCCCGCCCTTTGCTGAAAGCTTCAAGAGCAAACGAACAGCAAGACAGAAGAGGCTGAGTGCTTTCATCCTTCCGTTCAATGTGAGAAGAGTAAATACTGTTATCTCATTCCCTAGACATTAGTAAAAATTTTTTACTCACAAGTCTTTGACAGTCACAAAAACTATTAATTCCCAAATATCAGTTTGAAGACTGTGTATTTTAAAAGTGCTTTCAGGTCCAAACTCACAGAGCCATCCAAGCCCTTGTAGACCAGACAGCTGCCTGACAGGACGCGCCCCATGATGCACTGCGAGGCAGGTCGGCGGTGGGGGGCAAACCAGGCCGGAAGTAGAACTGTGGCAGGTCTGGCACTTGGGACCATAGAGTTTCTGCGCCAGTAACGTAGAACTGCAGCTATTCCTTAGTGGTCATCTGGCTCCTGTTTGCAGAAGGTTATCGGAGTTACAGCAGTGGCATTTAATAATGAACTTCATCCTGTACAGAAACTCTTCAGTGGGCAAGATTACAGAATATAAATTTAAACGACTGGCATTTTGAGGACCTTCTTATCTTGGCTCAGAGGATCAGCAGGAGCTGGAGAGGAACCTTTTTAAAGCTTAAACAGATCACTGTAAGGCAGACATAAATACATTCCCTAACTTCAAATCTGAAGATCCCAAATTTGAAAGCATTGAAAAACCCAAGTCCTGAAGAAATAATATAAAATTAATCTGGTTATTTGTTATATATGTAGTTGTACAACTAAATAGTATCAGACTAAACTTAACAATTGTTTAAAAAAGAAAAGTGCATTCAAAGTTATTCATCTTACATTTATTTTCATCCCCCACCTCCCTCTAAAGGATTTAAGGGACTTAAAATAAGAACATGCAGAATGAAATTTCAAGTTACAAATTAAAGCAGAAACAAAAACCATGAAGAAAAGCAGTATACAAACAAAATAGTTACAAGCAAAAACATAGTTGAGACACAATTCATTGACAAGAATCATCTGGTGAGAATATGTTACCACAGTACTGATATTCTAGGAGCTTGCTACTCCACTTGTGATCTCAAGACCAAAAGTATCGACATCACCTGGGAGCTTTTCAGAAATGCAGAATCTCAGGCCCTACCCCAGAGGTACTGGATCAGAATCTGCCTTTTAACAAGATTCCCAGGGGAATACGTATATACATAAAGTTTGAGAAGTTCTGATCTAGGGTCCTCCCATTCTGAGATTCAGGAGACCCATAATGGAGCTCAGGAGCCTGTGTTTTTTTTAAGCACACACAGCTGATTCTTATTAGGAAAGTTAGGAAATACTACAGATAAACATCAAATATAGTTTGGCTTCCTAGTAAACAAGTTAAAACCAGAAAAAAGTAAGCATAATGAGTTCCTCAGTGGGAAGCCAAGCACTTTCAGAAATTTTTTCTGTGGGACCTTAAGAATGAAGAACATGTTCCAGTGGAAAATGTTCTCAGTGACTTTTTTGTACCAAATGTTGCAGCAAACATAATTTGGTAATTTCTCACATCGCTAATAAAAGCTGAAAGTTTAGCATCAAATTAAAACTTCACTAAAGTCACTTCTGAGATAGCGTAAGGCGAGGGCCACCAACTTTGTGGCCTGCTTTATAAATAAAGTTTTATTAAAGATAAATGAGCATGGCCATGTTCATCTATTTAAATATTGTCTACGGAGGCTTTCACACTATACTGGCAGACAGATGCAAAAGAGACCGTATGGTCTGCAAAGCTTAAAATATTTACTATCTGCCCTTTACAGAAGAAGTTTGCCAACCTGTGGTCTATATGAATTACTTAGGGGACAAACCAGCTTTCAGTACTTCTCCCAGTGGGCTTCTGATAGGAATTAAAGATTGTACAGTGATGAAGGTATAGAATTTATTTTCTAGGTCAGTTGGTAAACTAGCACTCAAAAAAAATGTCCAGACTTGTTTGTGCTTGCCAACTTTGATGTTCTAAATCAGGGCTTCTCAATCTTAGCCCCATTGACATTTGGGGCTAGATAATTCTTTGTTATGGGAGATGGGGTGGGGGGCTGTCCTTTGCATTGTAGGTTCAAGGTACCAACTTGACATTACTGACCAGGATGTGGGAAGAAATGTGCACAGTCTCATAAGCCAGACACACCCATCTCCAGCCTACCACTGCATGAGGACATAGTTGCACAGATAGTAATTTTGCTTCCCTATTTAAAAATGTGAGGTATCTAGCCAAGATCTCCACCTGAACCAAAAAGTACCCTTTCCCCACAGAGATGAACCTATAGACAAAATTGTTTTTTTCTGCAGGAAGCAGCCTGGATCACTCACAAAAAGCTACATTTCACAAAGCATGGTTGAGATTATTCTGAACTAGAAAATGCCCAAAGCATGTTAACATTCATTCCAATAGTTATTAAGAACTCTCAAAACATATCAGTAAATCACATGGCCTCCCAGTAGATTTGGTAGGATGAATTAACCCCAAGAAAACTGAATGGCTGGACTTGTTATATGGATTTGGGTCTATTTTAATGTGATTATTGTTTTTGTTTTGTTATTTATTTACATAAATCGAATGTTAGGAAATGTCTGTCAATGATAATGACATTAGCTTTGTAGTCCTTTGTATCAAAAACACTGACAATAATTAATTACTCTGAACCAATTACTGACACTACTCTTAGACTTTAAACCATATCATCAGCACCCAGGAGGACACTTACTTTCCTGTTCTGGGAAGACAGGCATCCATTTTTATCTACTCAGATCATTAGGATATAAGACTTATTCTAACAATCCTGAATTCTTGAGGAGTATTAAAATGCAGATTTCATAGAAATATCAATAACATCGTGTCTATATTGAACTAGTGATACTTAGAGTGCAGACCAATGGAAATCAATAAAGGCTACAGTTATATTATTCTTGCCAGATTTCTGTGCAAGATCATTCTGCACAATGATCAGTGTTGTAACTTCTGGGGTTTCCTTTCCCCTTCCTAGCTGTGGCCTTCCTGGGTTCCCCAAATGATCAAAGAGACCAAAGGCAGTTTGGCTCACAGAATCACAAGAATGTTATCAACATTACGGTATTAACAATGTAAGCAATCAAACCTATCTCTAAATTTAAGATGCACCACACATGTGTGCACATGCACACATAAACACTTTGAACCATCTGAAAATTTGAACTTCACCTCCAAGCTGGAGCTACTTTTCAAGGGTCTCATCTGATTATTTCATCTTCTTATGGGATCTTGTGACATATATTGTTAACAACTTCTTACAAGCAACAAAAAATATCAAGGCTATCCAAAAGATAAGAAATAACAAATGCTGGTGAGGTTGCAGAGAAACAGGAACCCTCCTACACTGTTCATAGGAATGTAAATTGATGCAACCATTGTGGAAAGCAATATGGAGGTTCCTCTAAAAACTAAATATAGAAATACCACTTGATCCAGTAATTCCATTCCTAGGAATTTACCTGAAGAAAACAAGATCCCTGGTTTGAAAAGACATATGCACCCCTGTTTATCGCTGCACTATTTACAATAGCCAAGATATGGAAGCAACCTAAGTGTACATCAATAGATGAATGTATAAAGAAGATATGGTACATATACACAATGGAATATTATTCAGCTATAAAAAGAAAAGAAAACCTCCCATTTACAACAACATGAATGGATCTAGAGGGTATTATGCTCAGTGAAATAAGCCAGGCAGATAAAGACAAATACTGAAAGATTTCACTTATTTGTGGCATATAAAAACAAAGCAAAACAGAAGGAACAAAATAGCAATAGACTCATAAACACTGAAAAGAATTGGTTACCAAAGGGGAAAGGATGGGAAGTGTAGAAGGGAAGGGGAAAGGGAATTAAGGGGTACAATAATTTGCAATCACAATATGGGTTGGTCATGGGGATGGTAGTACAGCATGGAGGATACAGTTAATGATTCTGAAACATCTTACTATGTTGATGGACAGTGACCACACTGGAGGGGGTCAGGACTTGATAACATGGGTAAATGTTGAACCACTGTGTTGTGTATTTGAAACCAATGTAAGATTGTATATCCACGATACTTCAATAAAAAAAAAGTATCAAGGTGGATCTAGGTGCTCCCAATATATTGGCATTAAAATATTACTTAAATAAACATGTGTTCTCCTATAGTAAGCAATAAATAGTATAAACAATAAATAGTATAAATCTATATATAAAATATAGGAAAATTGAAGAATCCCAACTGGAATTAGAACAACTATAAAAAATAGAGAAGTTCTAATTATCATAAGGTGACCTCATAGACTTTACATAGACATATAGAATATAAGAGCTATAAATACACTGAAGGTTCAGATATGATTGCAAACCTCTTCCCCTTGAGCTGGGTGAGTACAACTTACCCCAAATTCATTGGAAATCACCTTTGTTATAGCTTACCTCCAATAAATAATGTAGTAAATATGCCCAAAGCCCATTTGCTCTACAGATAAAATTGTCTCCTGGAAACCCAAACAACAGTTTCCTGAGAATAAGACTGGTGCAAAGATTGAAGGAAAATACAGCAAACCACCATAAATAAAATAGGAATTTTGAGGGATAAAAGGCCTCCATTTATTAAAATCAAGTGGCTTCTGTTTTGAGTACCAAATTGAATTGTACTTGAGGAATTAATGAAAAATGTTTGATAAAGATCAGAGGTCACCAACAATAAAAAGACTTCAAAAAAATACAACAAAACAAAACTTTTACCTGGGCTTTTAAGATGGATTTGGGAGGAGTAATTAGCAAAAACTACTAACATAGGGTCTACAAAATCTGAGGTAGTTGGAAGGAATGATTCTTCTACATGCTAATTGAAATCTTTACTTCCACTGTCCCAATAATTATATTCATTATAGATTCTCAAGTTCAAATTCAAAGTCTTCTAGAATTTATAATACTCAATTTTGTTAATGATGATATCAATCAGGGTAAGTTTTGTGGTGATAACAAGCAACCCCAAAATGTCGATGCCTTTCAAATATTTAATTCTCGTACACATGGCCAACGTGGGGAGACAGGAGGTCTCAACACATCATAACCACTCAGATAATAGAGACTTCATCTCAATACTGGCTTCCACTGTCTCCAGAGTAGCAGGAAGGGAACACACAAAGCACACACAACCTCTTGATTCTATCCAAAAGTGACACAAATCACTTCCACTTGCATTTCATTTGTCAAAGCAAATCACATGGCTATATCCAATGTCAGGGAGAGTGATGACTGAAAGGGGAACTGAAATAATGGTAAGCATCCCTAATGACTACTACAGTGACAAGATATATTTTAAGATGTAAATGTAATGACTCCTTGAGTCACTTCCTTTCCCCTTCAGCTATGCAGCTTTCTTTGCTTG